TCTCTCTCTCTCTCTCTCTCTCTCTCTCTCTCTCTCTCTCTCTCTCTCTTTCTCTTCTGCTTCTGTTTACATTTTCTCTCTCTTTTTCTCTTTTCTGCACATGGCCGCTCACTTTAATCTCATGTCAAAAACATAGATTGAGTTTTGTAGAGTATTTTTTGTTTAGCTAAAAATGCAGTGTTTTGCTTTAAATGGATGATCTCAGAAGAAGAAGATGATTTAAACTAGAAGTTTTTATTTTATGATAGCTGTTTTTTGTTTATTTCAAAACATTCCCTTTTTTATTTATTGACTTCAAGATTTACAGATTTAACTTTTATCCTTGTGATATTCTTCGCCTTTACTTCAAGCACGAATTGCCCAATTTCCTAATTCTATTTTGCTTCAGAAGCTTTTGCTGGCACAACATTCCAATAATAACAAACAAGTAAGTTCTTTGAATTGATTTTCGCAATCATAATCTTTATTGACACCGTCAACTGCATAAGTAGCAGCAGAAACTTAACTTTATGATCACTCGCTGATGCAATCATTTGTTTCTGCAGCTTTTGTTTTTAATCTCTGCCTGTCAAAACCGGATTCAGCACATTTTTGCCCATATCCTTCTTAATCTTTCGTAGTTTGCCGGTTTGCTACTAGCACTCTACTCTAAAGCTTTTGGCAAAGACATAAAGTAGTGCTGCTTAAGTAGTGGTCATTTGCAAAGATGTGCAATGCATCACACAATCTTCTTACATCATACTGAATTATTATTACCCTTCATAATCATAACTCTCAAAAGTGTTTCTGCTGCATCCGCTTGGGAACTTTTTTTACAGTTTAATTTCTCTGAATTAATTTACAATTAGCTATTTGCAGACTGAGTTTAGAGCTTCATTGCTAAGGCTACTGCTTTTTTTTATCAATACCAAAAGGTTTACTGCCATTAAGCGCTTTTTATATAAAAGACTCGTTGTTGCAATTAAACATAAAAAAAATTTTAAGTGTACTAATTTTGACGCCGGCAACACACCGACAACATCCTCTACTTAATTAGCAGCTAAGCAAACAAAAAAAAACAGATCACACTTTTGATACTGACTGTTTGATAGTGAAACATACATGAATATTTATTTCATTGCATTCACCAAATACAACTGGTAATAGTAATACTAATAACCATATCAATCTATCTACTTCTAATGCTTTTAGTTCTAAACAACAACAAAAGTCACAATTATCACAATAACATCAGCAGCAGACATCCTGTGGAAAAAATGTTCATTTTTGTTTCCATTTTTTTCTGACTTGCTTTCTCAAGCTTTTGCTCAAACGGCTAGTGCCCTCAGTTAGTCATTCAGATGGCAGTCATTCAGCTTTGCAGCAAACCGTCCAACTGACAACAGACACAAACTATTTGGCAGAAGAAGCCAATTGTTTACTTAACACACACACACACACACACAACACACATTCATATGATCACTGTTTGCAGAGCTGGTAAGCAAAGTAGATTGTCAGTGTGCAATGCCTGTCAGTAGTCCTCTCTTTTTTCATCTTTTCCCTCTTTTCCCCTTTTCCCCTCAGTTTCAATCAAACTCTGTTTGACTCATTCACTGACTGACTGACTGACAGACAAACAGACAAACAGACAGACAGATCTCAAAACTCAGTGCTAACTTCTTGAACTTCTGTCTAGTCACGACGTTAGTGTTGCTGCAGTTACTACTTTTTTTTGCCTGCTGACCACCACCACTATCGCCACCTTTTTTACTTTTTCATTATCATCATCAGCATCAGCATCAGCATCATCATCATCGGCCAAACTTGTCTTTCCACTTCTTCTTCTTCTTCTTCTCCTCTTCTTGTCTGGTCGATGTCCTTTCTTTCTTTTTCTTCATCTTCCTCTGACTTCCTCTGATCAGACAGTGTGTGCCTGCCTGTGCTGTGTCTGTCAGTAACTTTGATGTCAGCTGTTGTCAGCAGTGGTGTAGTGTCAGTTTTTTTGTCTGTCAGTGTTAGTAAGTGAAAAAGAATTTAGCCGGCGTCTTTTTCCTTTTATTTTTCTGCTAGTCAGTTTTTGGTAGACACTCTTTAATTGTACACACCGTACTTACTGGCTGCCGTTTACCATGACTTTCAAATTGCCACTAATTTTATGTTCTCTTTTATGATCCAACTCCGGTTCCTGGAGCAACATTTGCCTTTTTCATCTTTCTTTTTGTTATTGCTGATAACTGAGTTCTCCCTCTTTTGGTGTTGTTTGCTTCTCTAATGACCGTGCAGTGGACTTTAGCACACACAGCACACTTTGCACATGCAACTTGTCTAAATTCTAAAAATTAACTGTTTAATTTTGAACTTAGCATTTTGCAAGACATTCTTGTTTTGCTTGCACACTAATACACCATTTACTTATTGCTCACCGTTAATAATTAGCTTGTTTTTAAGTTGTTAAGTTGCTTTTTGTTTAACAAACAAACCCTCCTGCTGCTTTTTCTTCAAAACTATTGCATTTTATTTTTTCTATTTTTAATTTCGCCATTTTCTACTTTTAGAACACTTTACCTGAACAGCAGCAGTTGTGAATATAAAAGCCACCATCACCACCACCGCCACCACTTAGACCACAACTAAAACTCAAACTCAAATAACTTGGGCACCGTCATCTTCCAACAACAACAACAACAAACAGCAAATCACACTGAAAACCTTACATAATTTGCACCTTCGAATCACCATCCCAGTAATTGATTCACTCCTTTCAATACTACCTACAAAAACTCTCTATCTCTTGACCAAATAATCACCACCACCACCACCACCACCACCACCACCACCAGCACAACTTCCCCAGCCATGGACCACCTCAAGTCGACGCCCATCACCCGAATCTGCTGCATCGGCGCCGGCTACGTGGGCGGGCCCACCTGCGCCGTGATCGCCAAGAAGTGTCCGCACATTCGCGTCTGCGTGGTCGACTCGAATCCGGAGCGCATCAAGGCCTGGAACAGCGACACGCTGCCCATCTACGAGGTAGGGCTTTTAGGTTTCGTTTGTTTGTTTTATTCAAAAAAATTATTTTGAACTAACACTTCAATTTCCTATCTTCCAACAGCCCCAACTGGACGGCATCGTGGAGGAGTGCCGCGGTCGGAACCTCCACTTCAGCACTGACCTCCACGCGGAGATCACCGCTGCGCAGCTGATCTTCATCAGCGTCAACACTCCGACCAAAACCTTCGGCTTCGGCAAGGGCAAGGCCGCCGACCTGAAGAACCTCGAGACGGTCTCGCGGCTGATCGCCACCACCGCCACCGACTCGAAGATCATCGTGGAGAAGAGCACGGTGCCGGTGCGGGCGGCCGAGTCCATTGACCGCATCCTCGCCGCCAACAAGGCCCCCGGGGTGCACTTTGAGATTCTCAGCAACCCGGAGTTTCTCGCCGAAGGGACGGCCATCGCCGACCTCTACTCGCCGGACCGCATTCTGATTGGCGGTGGAAGTTCCCCTGACGCGCAGATCGCCCTCTCCAAGCTGGTGGAGATCTACCGGAACTGGGTCCGCCCGGAGGCGATCATCACCACGAACACCTGGAGCTCGGAGCTGTCGAAACTGGCGGCGAATGCCTTCCTCGCGCAGCGCATCAGCTCCATCAACGCCATCTCGGCGATCTGCGAGGC